AGATGTTTCATGTTGTTCTAATGTCTTTGGCAAAGTCGGCACCCGGTTTTAACAGAGACTTCTACCAGTCCATAATGGAGCAGGTGAGAAAAAATATGGAGAAGGGGTTTTGGCTGCACAAAAGATCGTGCACTTTTCTGCCCATGTAACTGAAGTGAGAAAATATTAGAACTTTAAAAAATGTTTCCAATTCTCACATGAAGGAGTTTTTTTTGACCAAGCCCTCCCCAAAAATCCCAAACTGCAAAATACTCCAAACTTTCCCCAATACTACATCTCTCCCCAGATTTCATGCAAATGTAACTGGTTTTAATGAAAATCCTTTTGGGAATTTTTTTTAGTCCAGGATAGATTAATTAGGACCCTTTAGTTAGGTACAGGCATTTGAAAAGCTCGAGGCAGAATCAATCCACAGTATGTGGTTTTCTGTAAGCGGCATAGTTTAGATTGGTAGTGAACAGAAGACACATTTGCCCCTTGGTTGGGGGTGCAAATCTTAGACTGGGTTCTGCCATTTTTAAACCAGCTTATGCATGCCAGACTTCTGTTTTCTTATGGGTATAGACTGGTGTTGTGTGCCAAACTTCTGTTCTCTTATGGGTATAGACCAATTTCCAGTCATGTATACTGGTAAAAGTGTAGTGTCTGTACCTGGCCATCCTGATTCAGGAATCCGCCCACTTCACAGCCAGAACTTGAACCCAAGTGTTTCACATCATGGGAAACAAATTTAAGTGTCTGTTTTTCCACCCCCACAAATGAAATTATAGTGTTCTTTTCAACTCTAGAAAATGCTACAGTTTGGGTAGAAACTGGGATTTATGTACATCTATTGTACAGGCACGTAATGTAGTAATATGCACAAAACCAGGCATCTGTAAATATATCCAGATACTTGCGTGCTTGCATTAGGATTTGACCAATTGAGGTGAAATCTTTTTCCTACTGTGCTGAATGAGCATAGTGCCACTGGGGCCAGGATTTTACCTTTGGACTATATATCCATGCAAAATTTTTTGCCTCAACAGTTTTGATAACATTAACCAACTCCCTACAGGGAAAGGCTTTCCTGTGCCAATGTGATATCACATTTAAGTGACAGAATTTAGCCTTAAGGAAACTATGCATAAAGATATATATATATTTATTTATTTATATACATATATTTATTTAATGTACACATACCTAAAGTCCTGTTTGTTTACATGCAAGATGTTCAGTGGGGAATTATCTTGTTAAGATATAATTATATACAGTATCTGTGTGTGATAAATATATCACCATTTAAAATTCAAATCTAGGATGTGGAGCTCATGGTAAGAAACTTATGTGCCTCAGCAAATGTGAATGCATTATCCGACTGCTTTTATTCATTCCTCAGAGCTCTCTTTATCATTTGGAGGTGGGAGTTGTACCATAAGTTGCTTTGTATTAGCATGGAAAGTCCCAATTCTTAGAAGCAAAATACTTGTTTATTTGTTTATTATTTCTGTGTTTTTGCTGGAGATGAGAAATGCCGTGTTTATGCAGCTGCAGTAGCTGATGTACAAGTTTTGATATAGTCATGTTAAGTGTGGTTAATATAGTGCAGCTATGAGTAACAAGTAGTCACTAGTCAGTAGATGCTGACCTCTGCATTGACATATTATAACCCAGGCCCGTCGCAGCAGACTGGCGCTAGGAAATAAAAATTAAAATGCATCGTACCTAGAAACCAGAGGGAGGGATTCTTATTGCCTGCTACATGCTGCTGAAGGGGTTTACAGGAAAATCGGTGGATGTTGACCTGGTTCTCACAAGCCCAAGAGCGTAACTGCCATTGTGGCTTTTGCTGTAGCCTATAGGTAGCCCTGGAGAAATGCACATGGGTTCGAATAGCCCCTGACTGGATGCTGCTCTGGTTCCTGGAGCAATGCCACTTTGGGAGGGTGGAAACATGCTGCCCTCAGTGGCCCTGGCTTTTGTGCAGGACTTGCTCATATAACAAATGTCAAGGGCTAGGTACAGACATTCAGAAAGCCCAAGGTGGAATCGATCTGAGTTGCATGGTTTTCTGTGAGCTTTTCTGTGAGTTTAGATGGGTAGTGAACAGAAGACACATTCGCTCTTTGGTGGGGGAGAGCAAATCTTAGACCAGGTTCTGCCATTTTTAAACCAGTCTATGTGTGCCCAACTTCCGTTCTGTTACAGAGATAGACCAATTTCCAATCACTTATACCAGTAAAAGTGTAATGTCTGTACCTGGCCAAGCCGCCTGTGCTGAAAACTGGAACAAACAAAACCTCAGGAATCCCTGAAGGGAACCTGGCGGGGAGCAGAAGGATTTTTTTTGGCCAATTTTTTGCCTTAAAAAGGACACTAGCCCTGAGAAGTAATAATTCCAAAACAAAATCCTTATCTGAGCTATTCAGAAGAGGTTAAATTCTAAATATCATGTTTATTTGTAATTGCTACACTCTTTATCTTTCACATTTTGCTCCATGTTGACAATAACACTTGACCTAATCTTTTTAGAAACTGGACTCCTGGGGTACCTACCTTAGTGCAATACTGATGTGTGGGAGGTGTCAAAGACAATTGGAAAATATTTAAGAAAGAAAAAAAATCATGGTGGATGTTTCCATCTGCATTGGTTTGTGTATTTAAATGCAGCACAGACTACTTGATGGATACCCTTTAATGCAAAGGGATTTCTGCTGGGAATTCCTTTGTATGGATTAGTTTGAACCTTAGATGGAGCAGTCAAGGCTAGCTACACAAAGGGCCATGGGTGTCCCGCTGTTGAGCACTGTGGTAGCTGGGCCTCATAATAGAGCCCTAGGCCTTCAGAGTTAAATGCTTCAGCATGTGATTCCCAAAAGCCACCGCTCCACACAGGGAGCCACCATAGGTAGACAAAAATGCTAAAGATAGCGTCTTATTTTGCTTCTCTCTGAGGCTTAGGTGGCTTATTCTGGACTTCTGAGCCTTCTGCTGGAAGGTGCCTTAGCCTAATGGTGGCCAACCTGCAGCACAGGTACCGGCCTGTGAATTGGTACAGGCAGCCTCTAGACATGGCATATTGGGAAGAGTACGGGCAGCACAGTGGCAGATAGGGCACAGAACAAAGCAGAATAGCAGAGTACTAGGGGTGTGCGAAGCAGGCCCTATTTGATTCGGATTCAGATTTGACCTGAATTGAGGACAGCGATTCGATTCATTGATTCAGATCACTGTCCCTGATTTGATTTGGCTGAATCTGAAGATTTGATGCTGATTCAGAGAATTAGCGATTCGGACATAGACGCAGCTTTAAATGTTTTTTCTACATACCTTGAGGTACCAGTGTGGCTCATGAATGCTGCGATGCTGGGGCACATGGAGCATCCCACAGGAGTGTGGGGGGGCCCTCCATGTGCTCAGTGGCGAACCCGGAAATGGACCAGAAGTACTTCCGGTCCACTTCCAGGTCTGCTGGGGAGTGTGCTGCCCACCCCCCCACCTCATGTGCCTCTCCGGCTCAGCGATTGGCTGCAGGGGGCCCCCCCCAGACCCAGGAGGCACCAGTCACTGAACTGGGGAGGCATGGGGGGGGGCCCCCACCCCCACCCCCACACCACCCCCAAAGGACGCACACTCCCCAACAGACCCAGAAGTGGACTGGACGTGCTTCTGGTCCACTTCTGGGGCTGCTGCTGAGCGCACTGGGGACCCCCCCATGCTTCTGTGGGACACTCTATGAGCCCCAGCATCACAGCATTCACGAGCCACCTGGTACCTAGAGGTATGTAAAAAAAACATTTAAAGATGTCTCTATGTCCGAATCACCGAACGTTTCCGAATCTCTCCGAATCGATTCAGAGGGTTCCGATTTGATTTGGAGAGATTAAAGGGTCCTCTGATTTGATTCAGAGATTCGGCCCATGAATCAGGCCAAACCTCCGCTGAATTGAATCAGGGACTGAAGCTTTGCACAGCCCTACAGAGCAGGCAAGGAGCACAGGGCAGGCAGCAGACAGCAGAGCAGCAGATCAGGTAAAGGAAAAAGATTGGATTGTCATGTAGGGAGGGTGTGGGACTACGTGCCTGCCAAACAAGGTTGGTCCCCACTGCCTCAGCCCTTTCAAAAAGTGCATAAGGGTTCAGGGGTTCCTTTCAAAAGGAGCCCATAATATAAGCAGAGCAAGAGGACTTAGGCACTGAGCACTATGAAGAATGAGGACCCTCTGGACAGGCCCACCCAATGCATTGTGGACACCTTCTTCCTCCGCATTTGGGACTGGGCACTGTTTAGGATATTGGACTCTATTAACCACTGCTCTGCTCTGAAATGACAATTGTCTATTCCTTCTACAAACAGAAGTAAATGCCTATGAAAATGTTTCAATAACAATGTAAGCCATTGCAGTTCCAGGCAATTTCCTTTTTTGCCTTTTGAGTCTTATCTGACGTTAAAACCCCCACAAGATGCATTGAAAAGGAAGGAATTATTTATGTGGAAGCAAACAGAGTGTGTCCTTTTGTTTGTGCAAAACTGAAATCAGTGTATAAGTTCTGTATTGTTAATGTATTTCAACATATTGCTGGGACATTCGTATCTGGATTGTACTTCTTTTTCCATTCACCCTGCACATTGCTGATTTGCTTTTGCATTGTTTGTATGCGATACTTCATGCCATAGGTAAGACACAGTCAGGCATAAAAATTGATATTCTCACTTCTTGCTGAATTTTCCAAGTTAAAAAAAAAAAGATTTCCTCCCAGCAATTTTAGTTCCAAGTACTACCACCCTGTATTCTGAAATTGTACAAATGCCAGTATATTTGATATCTTGTAGGTTCTCACTGGGCTTCAAAGGAAGATTATATTTGCTGGGCAGGTTGTCGATAAAACATAAAATATGAATGAAATTGTAATTTTATGGCAGCTGTTGTAACTGTAACTGTCACAAGCACTGTTCCATGCTCAATAGCTCGGTGAGAAAACACTCCTTAAAAATTCTTTGTTGATTTGTGCTGTAGCTAAGCCAGGAAAAAATCCTGAAAATTATGAACATGGTGAAAAATAAAGAACTGAGCATTGAAGGAGCTTTGGATTTGGCACAGAAAGAGATGTGTACAGAAATGGAAGGTGCCAAATCAACACTTCAAATGGTAAGATGTCTCCTTTTATTTGTTGTGCAATAGTTTCAGATTGAAATACTCTGTCCTGTAAAATTTCTGTGATTGGCAGGAGGGTGTGTCTACACTGTAGTCAAGGGTGTGATTGCTACTCATATAGACATTTACAACTTAGCTTTAACTATTTGCTTTGGCCATCAATAGCAGTATGACCGTGGAGGCAAAGAGCTTAGCTTAGGCTCTCAACCTGAATATCTAACCCATTCCCAGATGGGTTTTACAACCCAGAATGAACCCCATGCTGCTGCAGCTCTCTTGCTGTTAGTACTGGAGTTGGCTAGTCTAAAGCTAACTCATGTGTTTGCAGGAGCTGCAGGTTATACTAGGTCCCTGGTGGGATGGCATAACAGGAGACGTCATGGTGGCCATCCATGGCCTGTGGACTCTCAGCATTGAAAGAATCCTCAGAAATGAGATCCACTGATTTCCGCAGCAGCTTTGTAATGCCAGTGAGGCACAAAGCAGCCAAGGATCTCTCCTTGCACAGATAGCAGTGTTAGCGAGTGTGGGTACACTGTAGTTGAGCTGTAAGAGGCATATCTGGGAAAAAAGTTACCAGGGCTTTCCCCTGGAAGTGGCCCCAAGGAATTGAGGATAGTCTGGTATAAACTGGAGCTGTTCTACACTTTCTTTGGGTCTGATTCGGTTCCTGGTCAGCCAAGGATAATCTGAATTGCAAAGTGATTCCCAAAGCACAGGATCTTGTATTGAGCCTGAGGCTCTAGACTTGTGTTGGATTTTTTTTTTGCTTAGATCAGATGGGTCGGCCCCACCCCTGGCATGTTCCTTGTGAAGCACAAAGTTTATCTGTCATGAAAGCCTTTGTGGTTCACTGTACAGAAATAAACTCATCAACAGTTTCCTCTTTTGCTCATGTGCAAGTGAAAGAAGCTGATACCATGTGGCTCAGATAGGGGTGGGAGCTGATGAAGGTGGGTCAGAATGAACCTAAAGCAAAAGCTGCATGCTACCTTCCTGAAAGGACCAGTCTTTGAAACAGACTCCTTATCCTTCAGTTGTCTCTGGCTTCTTCCCAGTTCTCATGTTCTTTCAGTGAGCAGGTCCTTACTTCTCCCCTCATCAGTCTGGCCTTTTCCCTTTCCAGTTCTTTCATTTCTTCCTGGTATCTTCTGTCAACCCTGCCTAATCTCAAGTCCTTATCTGCCACAATTGGTCACCTTCACTGAATTGAGCAGTTTCCAATATTATTTCCCTATCTGCTAGCTTTCTAGGATGGGAGTTTTAAAACCAGCGTCCTGTGCAAACATCTATGGGAACTATTAAAATCTCTTCCATTGTTAATGACACAATCAGAAAATGTTTCGTGCCAGAGAAGCTGCTAGTGACTTTAAAATATGGGTGTCATGTCCTGAGAACTCTTCTAAATGCCTTTTGGATTTGCTTTTTAATAAGTTTCTACAGTACTTCTTAAGTTCTCTGTTTGCATAGGACTCATCTAGAAGAATTAAAAAAAATCTGCAAAGACAGAGTTGAGCTCTGCTTGGCAGAACAGCTAGAAGCAGCTGGGGGTTAGGCTGGGTCACGTGGGACAATATGGATACGATTTTATCAAAGTAAGGAAAAAAAGGAGCTACATTTTCTTTATCAAGTAATGAAACAGAATGAAGTTAGAATGAGCAGTTGGGAGCCTAGCTTTTGATGATCCTTACTTTTTTATTTTATTTTACTATGTTCTTATTCAGGCAAAAGAAATAATTGTCCTTAAACTGGGTGCTTGTAGCTATGACATTTATCAGTTTATTTCCTACTTACTGCAGCTTAACATTTCCAGACTATTTTCTGCAGAGGCATCTGCCATTTTGTAAGTCCTTTTGCATAACTCTAAAAAGTAATTTATATTACAACTATATGATTGTGTATACCTGGAAAAAGTGTATGGAAAAAACACTGAGGGCAGGAGTTTACAGAAGAGATGTAAAGATGATTGAATCAAAGGTTACAGGCTAAATGAATGACTCTCTTTAATTTTATGACTCTAAAGAGGCTCTGTCAATATGAATTAAAACAAAAGCTAAGTCTGTGTTGCAAAGAAAGTCCCCTAAAGTGAATTATTGTTAATGGGACACACACAGATTATCTGTTCTAGAAATAGTGCTTTATCAAGGGTTCCTCCTCTGCGACCCACTCTATTGTAGATTATAATTATGAGAACTAAATCAAATTTTGACCTACGTGCGTGTGAAAATGCAGCAGCCAGTTTCACAGGCGAGAGATTTAATTGTGCTTTGGTATATCAACATCAACTTCAATATCATCCTTTCTCTGTAGTTCTACTGCATCTTGTACCATGGCTCGATGAAAATGTTTTTCTCCCAAGACTGATGCCCTCTTTGTTTGCTACTTAGTCTGGTTAGCAGATTGCCTACACATTTGTATTGTTTTAAATGCTGTTAGTACAGTTCCGTGGTCTTGGTTCTACCTTATTGCATGCTCTTTGAATTCTGTCTCTTTCTACTTCTATCTTCCACTTACTCATCTTCTCTCTCATAACATTATTGTCAGCTCCTGTTATTTCAATAGGATTTACAGAGAGGTGGTTAGCCATGTTAGTCTGAAGTTAGGCAGAAGGTAGGACAGCTGGCACCTAAGAAACTATGTGGTTCAGAGGGGCATGAGTTTTGTAGACAAAAACCTACCTTGTCAGATGTAGTGAATGGATTGACAGAAAGAAGGGCTTTATATAGAGGGGAAAGGGACACGGATAACAAAATGCCTCTGGTAATCACTTACAGTCTGAAGACCTTAGAAACCTCAATACTGACCTCCAAAACTTTCTGGAAGAATGACAACTGTCTCCATGGAGACAGCCCCCCAGTGGCTTACAGACAGCCCCCCAATGTCAAATGATGTCTCTAGCAATAGACTACTTAACTCCAGTTCTCATCAAGTTTCCAGGCCATGCTACACACCAAGTTGCTAGCTAGGCCCCCACATCACTGGCCATATCATCATTGGCCCAACAACATAAAATCATGGAAAAGGGATGGAAGGGACCTCAGGAAGTCATCTAGTCCAAGCCCCTGCTCAAAGCAGGACCATCCCCAACTAGATCATTCCAGCCAGGGCTTTTGTCAAGTCAGGCCTTAAAAACCTCCAAGGATGGAGATTGTGCCACCACCTCTCTAGGTAACTTGTTCCAATGCTTCACCACCCTCTTAGTAAGAAAGTTGTCACCTAATATCAACTAAAATTCCCTTGCTACAGCTTGAGGATGCATGAATTATAACATCCAAGGTCCATTCGCATGTTCCTCGACCAACATCATATATGCCATCACCTGCTTACAGTGCCCTTCTGCTGCCTACGTTGGCCAGCAATCCCTATGTAAAAGAATAAATAGGCACCTATTCAACATCAATTCCAGAAGCACAGAAAAGCCCATGGCAGAATATTTTAACCTTTCTAGATGTTCCATCACTGAACTCAGAGTAGCTGTCCTTAAATAAGAAAACCTTCAGGGCTCAGACAGAAGTGCAGCTCCCAGCTATAATTCAGAATGATTCCTGCAGTGCTCTGAGTTACAGCGTTACCCCGGACCAAACAGAAGTTCCCTGTTGGTTCCAGGAGGGAGGGGAATCTAGCTGTGGGCTGGGAGCCTGCAGCCGGGTTCCCATAGCAATGGCCAGTGCTTGCTATTTTCAGAATGGGAGGGGGAAAGGCAGCAGAGGGAGCTAGTTCTTGGGGCTCCCCAGCTGGGGCTGAAGGGTAGAGGGGGTGAAATGGAGCCCCTACCCACCTCAGGGGTGGGGGGCTGCAATACATCCATCCCACTCTCTGGGGGGCTGAAAATCCCCCAGACTGAACTTCCTCTGCTCCCTTTCCCCCCTCCCATTCTGAAAACAGTGACAGGCTGGGAGCTCTGTAGACACAAGTTACAAAAGACACTACATTTTGTAACACCTTGATCTGATACCTCATACAATGAATGGACAAGTTTTCACCTAGTCGGCCATTTTTTAAACTGTTTGCAGCGGTGCACTTGTGTTTGGTCACAGCTATAAACTGCTTTCTGTGGCCAGATTAGGCGAAAATTGTCACTTCTGTTTGCACCCTTAAAAGCCAGTTTGAACACAAGATTGGGGAGCAACAAATCATTCACAGACTGGAGGGTATTAACTGTGGTTTTAACAGGAACTGTGGATTATTAACCCATTTCCAGACCAGCTGTTAACTCCAGTATCCCCAAGGTGTTAACTGCCGTGCTCATCTCCTTTAATCAAATCAATGCTGTTACTTTCCCTTGTATACTTCCCTTTTATCTGTCAATCTACTTGTAGCAAGGTGAGGAAGTAGGCTGTTTCCTATGAAAGCTCATGCCTGTCTGAATCTAAGATGCAACCATGCTCTGCCTTTTTGCTTTCAATAAGATTTGTAGATTTTAGTGCTTCTGAACATGGGGCCATTGGGGTACTGTGCAAAGCCTCAATTATTCCTTGAACACCCTTTGTCAAGGGACTTCACCTATGTATCAAACTAACTTTCACATGAACAGGAATGAATGTAAGGAAGAGAATGAAAGGATTTGGCTGATATCAGTTATGTTTTCCAGGATTTGCAGGATTCGGTGCCTGGTCTGCAGTTCAACTTTAGTATCTACAAATATAGAAGATACAGGTGGCAGAAACGAATTCTGCAGGTAACTTTTTGAATATAAACTCTTGCCTTTGCAGGGTTATACAAAAATACTGAATGTACAGTAAA